ACAGACAGATGGATTCCTAACAATAATTCATCAACATTAAAGTGTGTTTTTCTCCCAATATGCTTTTTTTCCACACAATCCTCTTTAAAAATGCACTTTTGTATGTTATTACTTTTTTATGTATTACTGAAAACTAATACAAGCCTTTTGATGCACGCCTTCCCCAAACATATTGTTGCACGCCACTCCTGTCTCTGAGCGGTGCAGGATTCTGGAGGTGCCAGACCTCGGGTCTTGCTTCTCCCATAGCCACAGCCTTCAATTCAAGCAGAAATCAACCATTGCTCTCAAATGTTGCACTGCCTCTTCTGCCTTCTGTTTAGTTTCTCTGTCACATTACTCCTACTCCCTGCCCTAAGCTTTTAGCTCTCAATGCCTCTAACTCTCCATTCTAAACTATCACTTTATCTGTTGAGGGCACCCACCCATTTAACATCTGGTATGGTACCAAGTCCAAGGGACGCGGGTGGTGCTGTGCTCTAAACCACTAAGCCTTGGGCTTGCTGATCAGAAGGTCGGCGGTTCGAATCCCCGCGATGGGGTGAGCTCCCATTGCTCAGTCCCAGCTCCTGCCAACCTAGCAGTTCAAAAGCACGTCAAAGTGCAAGTAGATAAATAGGCACCACTCCAGCGGGAAGGTAAATGGCGTTTCTGTGCACTGCTCTGGTTCGCCAGAAGCAGCTTAGTCATGCTGGCCACATGACCCGGAAGCTGTCTGCAGACAAATGCCGGCTCCCTTGGCCTATAGAGTGAGATGAGCACCGCAACCCCAGAGTCATTCACGACTGGACTTAACTGTCAGGGGTCCTTTACCTTTCCCCCCCCTAACCTAGTCCCCCTGTCCTCTGTTTTGTTAAAATGCCTCATCCCCCAGACTATCACCCCACAAGAAGCTTAGCCTGGCTTAATTAGCTATTGACACTTGCTGATTCCAGTGGATTAGAAGTGTCTAGCACAAAATTTAGCACCCAACGCCTTAATTAAATACCTACTGGTCCTAGGAATTTAGGGGAGTCTGGCACCCACAAACTCATAACTATGTATTTTTTCTAGTTTTATGTGGTTGGTGAAGTGCAATGCCCAGTTCTGAGAAATGCAAACTCCCAAGAACTGCTGCATTTCCATTCAGATCATTTTAGGATGGGCAAGTTGGGTGATTTTGTATTGCGATGCCACTTGAACCAAATCCCCACCACTACCACCAGCTTTTAAAATCGACATCCACTCATGTGTGCCTTTGGCTTTGGGGACCTTAAATTCTTATGTTATGCCACCCCCCTGTCAGAGGACAGATACTGGGTGCTGTTCAGGGCAGCACAATGGAAGACCCTGAGGCACAGCCCATCAGTTTCACTTCAGGGTCAAGATTTCAACTCTCCCCCCCTCCACTCTCAATCCACTCCAGAAGTTGCAGCTGGGCCTGTCAGGGGGAACTGCAGAGCTCTAAATCTGTTTCTAGCTTACATTAGGCAAACATTTAACAAACATTTTACAGCATGTATTAACGTTTATTTGTTTTTATGGAGAGTTTTCAGACAGACACAACTGGAATAGATGAAAATTATCTTTTCCCAGTATTTTTGCAGAAATAAACCAGCCCTGCAGACAGTTAGTGCTCAGAAGCTAAATTCATGGACTTCAGATTGTTTGCCAGGCAAGATTTACAAAGCCCATATTCTCTGGCTATCAAGGCATGGGCTCAGATATAGAGTCAAGCCCCAGATTTTAACCACCGCCATCGAAAAGACTGCCGTGGAAAGAAGAGTTGATGGCAAGCATTCCTTCATGGGGAAAGCGTTGTAAATATCAGAGGCTGCAGCTGAGAGTCTGGGCTGGTGATAAACAGGGGCTGGGCTATAAAGAAGAGCAGTTGTTGAAAGTTTTTTGCAATACTTTTGTCCCTTCACTGCTATGTCTGTTCCCTTTTGTGATACTTTTGAATTCAGCGTGCCTTGTTGCAAAGGAAAGCTTTTGAATTTACTTCAAAACCTGAAACAGACTCTTATTTTGTAATTTATTCCCCATCCCATATTTTCCTGCAAGGTGCTCAAGGAGGTGTACATGGTTCCCCCCATCCTCATTTAACCTTTGCAACTACCCTATGGGGTAGGTTAGGCTGAGAGGCAGTGATTGGCCCAAGATTGGTCCAGTGAGTTCTGTGGCCAAGTGGGGATTTGAATCCCAGTCTCCCAGGTCTCAGTCCAACACTCTAACCACTATATGCTATGCCGGCTTCCTCAGCACTCGAACCACTGCACCACACTGCTTCTCCCGTGCCACCTGAAACCAGGCTGTGGAAGGGCCGGTATGGGACTCAAGGACAGCTATCCAGTCCTTTCCCCCAGCCCCCAGGCCACACCCTCATTTGACACACTTTACACCCATCAAGAATGCATTTTTCAAGGTGGCTTTGCATTGTGATACATGCATATACCATACTGTATCGTGATATTGTGATATTTGTTGCTGGAAGTTGCTTTGAGTTACTTTGGTGAAAAAACAACTGTTAAGTTTACTAAATAATAAATTGAAAACAGTGGTAATCTCCCCTGCATGCAAGAGAACAGGTTTTGGTGGATTGAGTTATAGTGGATCCAATGGCCTAGAAGGCAGTAGAGGGAAGTGAGGGGTGGGTGAGGCTCATCAACCTGGGAAGGAAGCCCTTCTAGGAGGAAAACTCTGGTCCAAGCTCAAAGAAAAATCTGTTCCCACTGCTTTGCAGGACATCTTTGGGAGAAGTAAAGGCCAAGGAGTAAACCCTGCGCAAATCTGGAGTGGAGTTGCTAAGATGGTTGGGTGGCACCTTGTACACCTCCTTCAGGCAGCTCCTGCAGCCAGGCTGGTGCCAAACATCTTGTTCTGCTTTCCTTTGGAGCACAGCAGCAGCCCAGGACCTCCATGCACACTGCCCAGGCTTGCGCCCTGGAGAGGTCATTTCATGTGCTGCTAATGCAGCAAAAGCAACATAGAGGCAGCAGTTACAAGTTACCAGTGTCTGCATCCACAGCAGGTGCTGTGGTTCTCCAGCGGTTTGACTTCACCCCTGGAGATGCAATCCATTGCCTCTTGAGACAGATGGACGCCAACAACAACAATGTCCACTTTGAGTTGCCCGGGTGGAGAGATGTGTGTGCTGATCTGTGTCTAGACTCTGTTCACTTTTGCCTCTAGCCCCATCCCTACCTCAGCCCCCTCAATTTTTGTTTCAAGGGGTTCGGGCCCCCACAATCTTAAGGTGGTCCTGCACACGTGATATGTCTGTGACATTACATGCATGACGCACATTGCATGTTGCAGGTCCAGTGGCTGACTCCTCCAGAGCACTTGGCCTACACATGACATCACAGGAGTGCGCCACATGCTGTCCCCCCATTTGGGGCAATGTGGCACTTCTGAACATGACCCTCTGACTGAAAAAGATTCCCAGCCTCTGCGTTAAATGAGCAAATGTACAATGGTGCAATCCTCTATGAGCAGCAGCAGGAGACTCCTGGGGCATCTCAAAGACTCCACAGTGCAACACACTGTCGAATCCTGGATTGCCATGGAGAACCAGGTTGTGTGGTCTGGTACTGAGAGGGTTGGAATGCAGGCGGGGGGGGGGTGTCCTCTTGCCCACACTGGTTTGCACAGATGCTGGTACTAAGTCATTTGCAGACTGCCAGGCAGGCTGAAGGTGAAATCTGGGACAGACCACAGCTGAGGAGATGCTGTTCTGTTGCAAGCAAAAGAGAAGCCAGGGGGTCTGACACTGGTGGTGCAGCCAAAGTCAGGCTAGTAATAGATGCTGGAGGACAGCTGGGGAAGTAAGACCAGGCTATCTGCATGGCTGCCTGATGAGCTGAGCTGCTTTGTTGTTGCTTAGTCATTTACTTGTGTCTGACACTTCGTGACCCCATGCACCAAAGCACGCCAGGCACTCCTGTCTTCCACTGCTTCCCAAAGTTTGGTCAAACTCATGCTGGTAGCTTCGAGGACACTATCCAACCATCTCATCCTCTGTCTTCCCCTTCTCCTTGTGCCCTCCATCTTTCCCAACATCAGGGTCTTTTCCAGGGAGTCTTCTCTTCTCATGAGGTGGCCAAAGTATTGGAGCCTTAGCTTCAGGATCTGTCCTTCCAGTGATCATTCAGGGCTGATTTCCCTAAGAATGGATAGGTTTGATCTTCTTGCAGTCCATGGGACTCTCAAGAGTCTCCTCCAGCACCATAATTCAAAAGCATCAATTTTTCGGCGATCAGCCTTCTTTATGGTCCAGCTCTCACTTCCATACATCACTCCTGGGGAAACCATAGCTTTTACTATACAGACCTTTGTTTGAGGAGCTAAAGTAAACAAGAGAGCTTTATAACAGCTCCATGGAGTTAACTGACTGTATTCTGGCCAGAACTGCAGCCCAGAGGGTGCCCTTGTTCCATAGCACCTGGTTTGCAGGGGGACCAGGACACTAATGGAGCAGGAGGTCAGGAAGACTGGCTGCTGGGGGCTGAGTTCAAGAGACGCATTCACACTCCTTACAGCAGGAAGCAGTAGGCTGGCTTCTGGGTTGGCATTTTGAACTACAGTGGTACCTCAGGTTACATACGCTTCAGGTTACATACGCTTCAGGTTACAGACTCCGCTAACCCAGAAATAGTGCTTCAGGTTAAGAACTTTGCTTCAGGATGAGAACAGAAATTGTGCTCCAGCGGCATGGCAGCAGCAGGAGGCCCCATTAGCTAAAGTGGTGCTTCAGGTTAAGAACAGTTTCAGGTTAAGTACGGACCTCCGGAACGAATTAAGTACTTAACCCTATGTATCACTGTAAGCAGAAAAGTTGTCTTGCTGTAATCTATTACAAGTTGCATTGGTTGTTTTGTTGTGACTGTTGCTGCTGCTGTTTTAAAATCTGATAGGAACATAGTAAAATGCAAACCATTGGTCCATCTAGCTAGGTATTGTCTACACTGACTGGCAGCAGCTCTCTGGGGTTTCAGGCAGGAGTCTCTCCCAATCCTACCGGGAGATGCCAGGGGTTGAACCAGGGACCTTCTGCATGCAAGGCAGGTGCTCTACCTCTGAGCTACAGTCCTTCCCGATCCTCACCAGGGATGATCTCCCACCCCAGCTGAGGATCAAGAGGGGCACAGCATTTTGGCACTCCTGAGTCCCTGGTGGGCTTCCCAGAGGTATTTGGCTAATCACCGAGAAGCAGATGCTGGACGAGGTGGTCCAGCTGGGTTCTGCTGATGTTTTAATGTCATGTGCAAATCAGAAAATTAAGAGAATGTTCCTCAAGGCACAACGGTTGCCTTCTGACTTCTCTCTTCCCAAGTGGTCAAGCACACACACCCACACACACACACCCACACACACACCCCACTGCCCCTGTGATGCTTGGTTTAATTAAGTGTTTCAATTTCTTGAGAGAGCCTCCAGTAGCAACACTGGCCATAAATGAGAAGAATTACGACCTGCAAAGAAGCAGTTCAGTCATTGGTGGCTCATCAACATTCTTTCCCATTAAGATTGCTATTAAGTAATGGGATTTTTTGAATGTATTTTGCTTATGTACGGTTAAGTACGGTGGGAGGGGGAATCCTTCATTTGTGTTCCATCTGGAGAGTTGCATAAGTTGCTTTTGGAGATTAGGAGGGTTACCTGGGATGGAAATGGGCAGGGGCAAATGTAAGCGAGCAGGATTTTTGCTGAGCATGGGCAGAGCTATATTTAGCAGATGTAGCCACATCGCTTCAGAATGAGTATGCACACAAACGTCAGGGAACAGCCATGGCTCAGTGGGAGAACAACAAGTTTTGGTTAAAGAAACATATGTATTCTGAATAATCATTTTGATTAATTTTGTTGCCTCTAATCATGGGGAAGGGCAAAAAGGTAGAGCAGGGCTGCATGAATCTCAAGCCTGAGGGACCAAATGTGGCCCCCAGACCTCTCTGTGTGGCCCTTGGGACCCTCCCCAAGCTATACACCCCTGCTCCTGGCACACACCCTCCTCAAATGCTTTTTCCTGGCTTGAATGTGTCCTTGAACTGTGGACTGCCAGCCAGGATGGAGAGACACATCTCTGCATTTGTGCCTGTAGAAACCTCTGACTTTCAAAAACCTGGAATCTACTCTACTGCTGAAAGAGTCTTGTCCATTGTCCCAGCCGCCTGTGACATACAACCCTAGAAAGGTTCCCTCCAGGGAATGTGGGCCTCGGGTAGAAAATTGTTTCCTACCTGAGAGCTACAGCATGGCACTAAAGCGGAAGTCCAGTTGGACTGTAGTGGAGCAATATAGGCAATGAAGATTGTTGTCATAGGCTTGTGGGGGGTGAGGTTAGAATCTACAAGAGAAAACCTGGTGAACTGCTCAGACTAGTCCCATTGTTAAGGTAATGGCCTTAGATGTCCAGTTAAATAGTTCCATTTACTCATCTAAAAGGCTCTCCATGGAGATAAAAGGGTGGGCCTTTTCCCACCTCACTTGGCTGAATGCCACATCCTCCTAGGATGGAGAACATGAGGCCAAGGGAGGCTGAGAGTTGTGTGTGAGAGAGTTTTGTTGGAGTGTCAATGCTGTGAGTCCCTCTTTCCTATGCTTTTCTTTATATATATGTAAAGAAAACCATATATCCTAAAGACACCACAGTCTCCATTGACCTTCATTCCAAGGAAACCAAACCCTGGGTAAGCGCAGGCATCCCTAGAGTCTCTTGCCACATGGTGATAGGGGTGCATGCACCAATATATGGTGGGTAAATGTTCAGTGGACAGAACAGAGCTATTCATATAACTATCTCCTTTGCCTGCAGTTTTCTGCAAGGCAACACCTGGCCACTGCAGATTCAAATTCATGGCATGTCATGTACCAGACTTTCAGAGGAGGGGACATTATCCAAGGTTAACAGGATGCACTTGCTGCCAGTCTCTCTTTTTCCTACTTTCTTGGATGAGGCCTGTGTGCCACTGAAACGGAGGCAGATTTATCACCAAGCATGAAAGTAAAGAGCAATATCGGGAGCCAGTTCCAGTTTCTCCAACTTCTTAATTGGCAAAGTGACCTGCAAGGCCTTGTTTTTTCCTTTGTGGCACTGGCTGCTGTCCCTTTGAGGGTTCAGGATCTGACAGTGTGCTGTTGTGGAGAGGACTTCCTGATTCCCCTCACCTAAGCTGATTTTGCAATCACCCATGGAATCGTAATATAAAGACTGAATTGGATCAGGCTATAATATGGTCCACGTTGCATGGGAAAGTGATGGCAGGGGAGGGGTGTGTACATGTGTGTGTACATATACCGTTACCTAACTCTGTACTTTAAAGGTAAAGGTAAAGGGATCCCTGACCATTAGGTCCAGTCGTGACCGACTCTGGGGTTGCAGCGCTCATCTCGCTTTACTGGCCAAGGGAGCCGGCATACAGCTTCCGGGTCATGTGACCAGCATGACTAAGCCGCTTCTGGCGAACCAGAGCAGCGCATGGAAACGCCGTTTACCTTCCTGCCGGAGCAGTACCTATTTATCTACTTACACTTTGATGTGCTTTCAAACTGCTAGGTTGGCAGGAGCAGGGACCGAGCAATGGGAGCTCACCCTGTCGCGGGGATTCGAACCGCCAAGGGGGGTGCTTTTCCCAACTCGGGCCCCTGAGATTGTCAGTACTTAAAGATGGAAAAGACAGTGTGCCACAGGCAGCAGCAAGCAAAAGAATCCTAGGTTACTAGGCGAAGGCCACATTCACACCATACATGTAACAGCATGGTGTGAATATGGCCTAGAACAGCAGAAGGACTGGGGAAAATGAGCTAAAACCACCAATGCATGAAGTAGAACAAAACTTCTAAAGCATCCCCAGACAGTTCTACAAACCATCTTTCTTAAGTGTTTACACCTCTCTCTGCCTACTATTTATTAGCAGGGGAGGGTTGGGGCAGTAAGTGAGACTATAAGATGGTTTTCCTTCAGATGACACCAGGTGAAAGCACGTGCAATGTGTCCATGAGAGCGGCCTTGAAATAACTTTCACAGCTGTGTGTTTATCAGATCAACCTGCCATTTTCTCCTTTGATCGACTTAATAGCAGCTTTTGTGAGGTGGGCTCCATCCACCGTCTGGATTCAAGCTCAGGAGTTGTCTTGGGAAGATGGCTAACAGGAGTAAACATCTTTGGGTAGAATGTCACAAGGGCGTGCATTTTTCTTATTTGTCTCATCCTTTCCACACACAAAAAGCTGCCAAGGAAGATACATCATGCTCTCTCACCATGTTTGTGGCCTGAATCACGACAAGAAAGGATAGCAGTGAGGAACTCTCAATGGCTTGGCTGGGTTTGCCATGTCATTCAAATTTTAACTGTTTCGCATTCCAGTTAAATTTGACACTGATGATTTACTAAAGCATTTATCGATTGATTTTACCTCCCATGACCCACTGGAACAATGTAGGATTGCTATATTTTGAAGAGCAAAAAAGAGGTAAATACCCCTACTATATGTAGGCTATAGAAGCTGTGATATATTGCTGAGGGGGAGCAGGACAAGAGAAGAGGAAAGCAAGTCTTCAACCACCAGCTATATCTATGTGTCATCCACAAAGTATAACCAGAGACATTTTGGCAAATTAAAAAAATCCACCCAGACAGGAATTTTACCCCTGAAAAAGAGGACGTGTCCTGGGAATAGAAGACACATGGCAACCCTAGAACAATGTGACATCTGGTGCATTCTGGGAAAAGGACCATGGCAGTTGACAGACTGGACCATCAGTGTCTCCTCCATTGCAACCAAACCCACAGGCAGTGGAGAAAGACAGTGAGGCATCAGAAATGTTGGAACAAAAACATTCAAAGACATAAATGAGTACCAAGACAAATTACATGCTAATAAATGAAACATGAAATGAACAAGATTGTAATGACTGGGACATGGAAACAAATGGTGCTTTAAGTAGGAGAGACAGATGGAATCCGGAGCTATAGAGCTATCTAAACCCCTCTTCAGGCATTCCTGGACATGGTGTCACTTTGGAACACGATGGATATTGAAAATGGCTGGATTAGGAGGGAGACCACTGGAAGGGCTTTGAAGGGGGCCCTTCAAAATGAAGCCAGCCTCAAAACATTTCAGAATTTGTGGTGCGGGTGAGCCACGTTGTCATGGGTTGTAGAAACAGGGAGATGGCCACAAGGTGAAGCTCAGTTTTATACCATTGTAACTGTCATGGCTTCCCTGCTGGTGAAGGACAGGTAATAAATTTAATCGTCTTCATCTGTGAGTGTTTGTGTCCCCCACTCACATCTCTGAGTGACATTTTCTTGATCCCTCCATACGAGGGCATTGAGCCAGGATGGTCCCAGATGCAGGTCCTCTGTGGAAGGAGGCAAGTACAGTATCTCATTTGGCATTTCCCTCAGATGCTTTCATATAAGGTCTTCAAGGTAAGATAAATTTAACATCCTTTGTCAGGAGCTGGAGCTGGAACACGATGAAATGCAAGCTTTCTTGAACAAGGTTACGGGCTGAGAATATGGGTTGACCTTCTGTTCCTTTCTCGGTTCCTGTGTGGACTTGCTTTCCCTCTGAAGGGAACAGTTGGGAGGAAAGGACAGAAATGTCACCAGGGCTGGACCCTTCAGCCAAGTTCCACCAACTGCCTAATTCAACTGAAACACAAAAATCAAATTCACTGTCAAACTAGAGGACTGGTCCAGCTGTCAAACTTTTTCATGCATTAGGGACTCCAATACGCATGGGAAATTGTTCAATGCATGCAATGCCCTGGTAGGATCCTGCTTTGGTATGAATAAATTTGATAGTGTGTGTGTGTGCGTGCGTGCGTGCGTGCGTGTACACACGAATATTTTGCAGGGTGGGGGTGTCCAGGTCAGGTGTGGCTGCTGCCCATTGGGCTGGTAGGGCAGACAGCAGAGAACCAAACAGTAGGTGGTGCCAGAGGCGATGACAGGGCCAGCTAATTATAGTTTTGTCCCCTTCTTTTCCCCCTGCTGAGTTCTCCAAAGGCATGGCACTGAGACTAAGGAGGAAGGAGCTGACCAGCACTGCCACCCCCTGGACTGGTTGCGCATAGGAAGGCTGG